AAAAAAAAAAAAAGTAATTAAAACAGTTATTCTTCTTAAGTGTATGGTATACTAAGGAGTTAGAAACATACATAATTATAATGCATGGAGTTATTTCCATAAGAGTATTACAAATTGAATTCTAGGTAGTCTTAAAGGAAAGAAACTTGATTCTTTTCAAGAGTTTTAGGAAGGGTTCTTGGAGAAAATGGCATGCAGTAGAGTTTTGAACAATGAAAAAGGAGAAAACAGAAGGAATTATGGGTAGTTGAAGAAAAAGAAGAGAAAGAGTAAAATGTACAGTTTGATCAGTAAGCATTTTTATCCAGATCTTTCTCTTAGAATGAGTCATCTAGTCATTCAAAAGAATGGCAGAGCATTTACTATATCTAATTTCCTCAGAGGAATCACATTTCACTCATTGTCTGAAAGTAGGCTTTCTCTTTTGATAAATGGGGAATCCTGATGTTAGCATTCTAATAGCAAGAAGTTTTAACTCAAGATCAAAGAAATTGTTTAACTTGAGTTTCGCAGTACAGTTTGGAAACATAATTTTTACACTTGACAAGTTTTTAAATAAACTTGAACCTAGCCCTTAAAAACGTGATATAGTGGCTGGGGATTTAGCTCAGTGGCTCTGCTGCCTGCCTCACAAGCACAAGGTCTGGAGTTCGATCCCAGGTATCAAAAAACAAACAAACAAACAAAACAACAAACAAACTAATACAGTAACTGTTGAGAGAAATGACAAATATTGTATTTTAATTCCTAGTTATATTGTTCTATGTAATATAATTTCTATCTCCAAAGATTCATGTGATTCTAGAACTTACTGATTCTTACTCTGTGATATACACTCTACTCACTATTTAAAATAATTGGATTTCACCTTGAAAATATAACTTCGGAGGAAATCTCATATCCCTAAATGTATCTCAAATATCTTAACCAGTCCATGCATGGAATGTCTCATTTCTTTTCAAATGCATCTTAGAGTGAAAACCTATCATATTAAGTCCAAAGTTTCACTGTAATGATTCACATTTTTCTTGCCAGCTGTTCTGATAGGAGTACAGGTTGTTACACTCCCTGTATAGGACACAGTATATGAAACCTGTTCAATGTTCCTACTCCTGGATAACAAAATACTCCCAAACTCGTTGGCTTAAATTAGAAATGTGTTACATTCTCTTACAGTTCCCAGGGCTTATGGAATTGTCTAGGTAATTCTTGTTTAACAGGTTTCATAAAGCTGTAGGCAAATGACTGTCACAAGAGTCAAGCGAGTGCTTCTCGGTCACTTTTAACCCTACTCCAGCTTACTTTCCAATCACCAAGAACATTAAAATATGGAGAGTCCAGCACTCTCCAAAGTGTGCCAAAGTTGTGATGAAAGCGTCAAAGAGAACCACTCTACATCACTTTATTTCAGTGTTCTGATAGAGGCTCAGCACAACTCAACTTCATTACAGCTGGAGGATTATCAAAGAAGAATGCATTGAAAGAAAGGGATGTATTAAACTCAGATAAACATTTCTAATGACAGAGCCAAATCCCTATCAACAGATTGCTGCTGAGAAAGTGCTTCCTCCTCATGGGGGCTAGTAAAAAGGCTGATTTCCCTAAATAAAGCAGCTATGTCACGTCTAGTTACCTATCTCTGCCTGACAGACTACCCTGAACTACATTGCTTGAAAGAACAACCATTTTATTTTTTTCACAAACCTGTAGAACAACATTTTGATCAAAGCTCAATTGGACAGCTCTGCTCTACACAGCATTTGCTAGGACCACTCAGGGGTATCCAGTTGCTGACTGGGTTCAGCTGCAGGGTCCAAGAGGGCTGCATGGGTATGTCTGGCCCCGGGGTGACCTCCTAGGGAGTCCCGGGACTCTCCAGTAAGCTTTCTGAGTTGAGTAGTTGAGTGGCTTACCTGAGGGCTCAGGGTTCCAAGATAAAGTATTCCAAAGGACAGGAAAGGAAGATGCAATATTGTTGTACAGGGGGAGGTACAGGCACACTGTCATTTCTGCAACACCCTAAGTCAGTTTAGATGAAAGTCCATTTAGATGCAAGGATGGGACGTTGACCCAGTCTCAAATAGAATTGCAGCCATATTTAATTTGAGATAGGGCCATAAAGAGAAAGACAATTCGGTAGCCATACTTTAGAATCTTAGGACTTCGAATACCTCATCAGGTGATTCAAACCCAGATATACAGAGGAGACTCAATGTAAAGTGGAAGAAAAACTGAACCAAGTCTACAAGTGGCGATACTTACATTAGATTGAAAGTAGAATCTGAAAATGTTACATGTAAAAGTTTCCCGGTTTTAGTCATATTAGAATCTTTTAATATGAAGATATCAGTGAACGGGCCTTTTGAAAACATGATCATATATCTTCTACATATTGTATTATGTGCATCCTACTCAATGAAAAGCTACTTGTAGAAATAAAACATTGATTTTTAAAATTTGGGTTATTGTGGTGGGGCATAGCCTGGATTTTCTTTTTTAAATATTGAAAAAGATATTAAAGCAAGACAAGTTTTCAAAGCAAAGCTTAACATCTCACTGGCATGTTTACTACAGCTGCGTAAATTAGCCATGTGAAGCAGTGTTCACGCCCCAAGAGTAGCAGACACTTAGATTTGCAAACCCTTCACAGTGTCATAGGTTCTTCCTAATCTCATTTGCCTGGGGTTCCTTCCCACAATCCCTTAGTCACCGACTACCAGGAACACGCCGATAAGGAAACAAGCTGGGTTCATTTCTGCTCTTTACGATACGAGAAACCGCGCAACACACCGTGCTCCTAGGTCTCGGCAAAATGTTAGAAAGGACTTGAAAGCACTGCAGCTTATTTTCCACGACATTTGCAATCTTCCTAAATCTTAGCATGAAACAAATTAAACCAAGGATAGGATTGTAACTGACTAAGATACAGGAATTTTACATTACCAGATAGGCTGATATTTAGCCGCTTTTGTGGTGTTAGAAGAACAACTAAGACCAGTTTAATTTAAGAAAATTTACTTGAGAGGAAGAAAGGAAAGGGAAGGGAAGGGGAGGG